TCCAAACCCTCTTGGTAGAGTTGTCACTACACCAAAAAAAATCATTTGCAACATTAAAAAGGCAACATTTGTTGATAAATGTTGCTAAAAAGGTCTTTTGGCAACATTTTAGTAGGTGAATATTGCCATTGATTAATAAAAATGAGTTTTGGCAACGTTTTTTGAAAAATGTTGCGATATACCCCCTTTTGCAACGTTTTTGAAGTGTTGCGGAAGGTGAGACCTTTCGCAACGTTTATTAAACGTTGCGAAAAGTCTCTTTCGCAATTATTAAAAGACGTATTTCATCTCCCCCCGTCTTACCCTCAATCCTCTCTCTCTCTCTCTCTCTCTCGCGGCCGACACAGTCCTCCCCATATCTTCTATACCTATCTCTCATTCTCTCGCGACCGACGCCATTTCAGCAAGAAATCAAGAAATTCCTGAAAAACCTATGGCAACTGAGTCATATTCCTGAAAATATAATCTTCGCTGCTTCGATTTCTTGCTTTTTTTAATTTTTTTTCCCCAAAACCTAGCTCAAGGAAATCAGTGACTTTGGTTGCCGTCAACTGGTCGGCGGTTTAGCGCAAGAAGAATGTTACTGCTGTTCAAAACCCCAGCGGGTTTTGCCCTTTTCAAATTCTTGGATGAAGGCAAGTTATCCAAAGTTGAGGTATTTTTCTTTGTAATTTTTTTTTCAGTTTTTCTAAATTCTCCTCGTTTCCTTCATTTTTGCAACTTCATAATTCGTTCTTCTGTTGTATGAGTGATTTGACGATGATTTTTTTGGCTTTTATGGGAATGGCGATTTTTAATTAACATTTAGATTTTGATGTTTTAAATTTTCAGCTTCTACTTCGGTGGTGTTTGGGGATAATTGGTGTAAAGTTAATTTTATATTCTTTACACATCAGTTCTTTGGGGGCAGGAAGGATGATTGGCTGTGGAAGAGTCGCAGTATCGGAGTGTTTGATTTGGAGAGTGGGAGTATTGGGCCAACTGATAGTCACGATGGTTATTCCGACATGTTCTGGCCGCCACCTGCTTGGGTTTGTTCAAATGTATTTGTTGAAGTAAGTGGTGGTTTTAATTTTCCAGTTTACAGTTAATTTCTTGGAATTTATATCTTTCCGCCTAACTTTGTTTATTGCGTGAGATGAATTTGATGAATTTGTTGAGCAGCATCACGTATTCGAGATATTGTTTATGTTTCTTGATAGCATTGGCTGCACTTTAGTGTAGGGTAACCCCTGAGCAGCACTCAGTTTCTGAAGCTTGAACTTAAATAAGTTCTCGAGAAACTGTTGTTCTAAGTATGGCCTTCAAAGTGTTTTTTGAATGTCAATGACTTGATATGCAGAGTCAGAGTACAAAATTAGTTTTTTTTTTATCAACAGAGTACAAAATTAGTTTATAATGCCATAGGACAAGAAGAAAATCATTGATATGGTATAAAAATTTTCTTGCACTATATGTCTGGAAATTTCTGAATCTGTTAGATGGTTGAATGTATTATAAGTTGCTAAAGCACAATATGCCTCTTTTGAGGATTCCATTTGATCATTCGTAGCTTGTTGAAAATGATTTAATTGAGCTTTCCGTAGAGATTTGTCTTACCAAAACTATGGAGTGGATGGGGATTCGAAACTTCTATATTGGAAAAAATATATCTCCGTCAAGGAAACTCTTCTTCCAGATATGTTTATTGGAAAAAATATTTCTCTGTCAAGGAAACTCTTCCTCCAGGTACGTTTAGGTCGCTTATGTTGGCATGGGTTGGTTTATCTTTTGAGACATCCACTGAAATCACCTGAAGTGGAGTACACCTGCAATAGTAATGCAAACTATATAAACATTTCTAAGTTAATGCGAACTGTATACACAAGTTTATTTGTAGTAAGTTGACACCCAGGACTTAACATCAGAAATAGGCCTTCCTTTATCCATTCAAGATGACCTTGTGCTGGGGAAGAAATTGGGAGAGGGATCTTTTGGTGTGGTTTATAGGGCTTCCATGGCTAAAAAGCCCTCAAAGGTAAGTGTTTGACAAAATTTCTCGAAGAACAAAAAATATTCAATTTATCACATCATCGTTGTAGAGCTTATTGAACTGAATATGGTGCTTAAACTTATGAGAAGGTTGAATTTGGCGCTTTGAATTTGAGAATGTTACATTGCAAGAATTAATCTTGTCATTAATCAGTTATCCTCATTTTCATCATGCAGGCAGATAATTTATGAGCGTTTAAAATTCACGTGTAGTTACAAGGGCATGTTCCTTAAATTTCGATTGAGGAATTTGCCATTTCTCAGTACTAATAGTTTCTGGTGTTTTCCGAAGGATGGTGACGTAGTCTTGAAAAGGGCAACTGAATATGGAGCAGTTGAGATATGGATGAATGAACGTGTGCGAAGGGCTTGTGCAAATAGCTGTGCTGATTTTCTATATGGCTTTCTTGAGGTGTTGCTCTATTTTTCCAACTATCCTATTATAAAGCTATAAGAGAATATTTTTTATAATTTCTACACTTACTAATTTGACACTTCAAAATCTTCCAGAGCTCTTCGAAGAAGGGGGCTGAGTATTGGCTGATATGGCGGTATGAAGGGGAAGCTACACTCGCTGATTTGTTGCAGAGTAAAGAATTTCCTTACAATGTAGGCACTTTCTTAAACCAGCAATATTACTAAATTTTTGGATAGAACTCACCACCGTTATCCTGGATGTTTAGAAGTTCTTTTCATCGGATATAGAGCTCGAAAATGAGATTTACAAGAAGGGTAATTTAATTTACAAGATTGAAGTTTTCTTCAATTCTTGCATACTTCATGGATGGAGGGACTCTATTGTAACTTTACAAAGTACCAAATCCTTCCCCTTGTATTTGTATGGCATGTGAAATTATCTTACTCCTTTTTAGATAGGTTATGTTGTATCACATTCGAATTTTGTATTAATGAAATTATCAATTTTTATGCTATTCCAAAATATGTTCACAAAGTGTTAATTTTAATTTTCTGGATCAATTACCATAACTGTAAAAAAAAAATTGGCTACGGCAACGTTTTTTAAATGTTGCGAAAGAGTCTACGGCAACGTTTAAGAAACGTTGCGAAAAGTCTTTCGCAACGTTTTTTAAACGTTGCCGTATCCCTTCCCTTTTTCGCAACACTGCACTTTGCAACACTTGGAAAAACGTTGCAAAAGGGCTTTTGCAGCGTTTTTTGGCCGTTGCAAAAGCCCTTTTTTGGTGTAGTGTGTTGATGAAGTAGAATGCCAAAAAAAATCGAGTCCAAAACAAAATAGGAGACAAAAAACAGGAAAAACGGAACAGAGGCAGTGGCGCCTAGGCGCGACACCCCGGGCACCTAAGCGTCGGGGCTAGCACTTGAGCACCCAAGGGCTAGCACCATGCTATTGAAAACAGCAAGCTAGAGCCTAGGCACTGCGTTACGACCCAAAAATTTCCAAAATTCCTCCAATGATGTTCTTCTCCATTCAGTACTCGATTTCAAGTCCCACACTAATTTCCAACTTCCAATGGGCATCCAAAATAGAACTCCAATTACATTCCAAATTTGAATTCTTCATGACGTGCACTTCAAATACTTCAACAAAGAAATTCGGGTCACACCCAAATTCCAAATATCTCCACCTTGACACGAATTTCACCAAGGAATGAACTAGTTTCTTCAACAATAATAAAAAAAAATTAATTTATCCAACAAAACTGTAACAACTCGGCCTCTCACTGGAGCCGTTATCTTACATACTGTCCGCTCTGGGGTGGATTTCTGCCCACTTATCCCCTCACG